GCTTAACTGGAACACAGTAATATGTGCCTAGAGCTAAACCCATCACAGGAAACTGATTACCTGTCCAGGGCTGGAGGGAAGAAGAGGATTCTCTGCCCGGCACATAGTGGGCGCTGAAGCAGTATTTGTGGAATGAATGGGAACTCGGGATAGAAAATCCCCTGGTACAGAGGGACACTTCTATTCCCCTCCCAACACCACCCCACCAAGCATGTTTTCCTGAGTATCACACTCTGATTCCAGGAACCACAATCGTACCTGGCTGTGGGGATGTGCTTTCTGTTCCTGTGTTACTCTGAGAGTCAGGATCCTTTCCACTTGCTCCCACAGCAGCTGAAACTGGCTGGAACTGTTAAAGGGACTATACTGGTGTTTAAAATCATAACTTTGTCATTTACTAGCCTGGTGGCCTGGTGGCTAGGGCAAGTTCTTTAACCTGTCTTGGCTCCACTTCTTCATCTGTAACATGGGGGCAAATAATCCCACCTTACTGTGAGAACCAATAGTATAGTCAGTCATTCATCTGATGCTCACTCACGTTCCATGATGGGCCAGGCATGTAAAGTGAGGGAAAGTCTTGTAGTGGGAGTGCTCTTCTTTAGTTTCTGAAGTGAACCTCCAACTACTCATTTCAGATTTGTGACCACTTCATGCACCTACAGACCTTATTCTGCTCCCAGCTTACAGAAATCTCTCAGAGACTCTCCTCCATAAATTCTTAAGCTCTTTCCTCTTCCATTACTCTTTTTGCTCTCTCCCTCCAAAAGCAATAGTTTCTACTTGGCAGGCCCTCTGAAGAAATCAATGACTTGAGGTTGTGGTTGAGACCTTATTCCTGAGGAAACAATGACATTTCTGTTCTTTTTCAGAGCCAGCAACATTGAAGAAACTGGCTTACTAAACCAACTCCACTCCACTCTCACCTGTCTCTCACACACACACACACACACGCACTGGCTAGAGTTGAAATTCTTCACACGGGCATTTATACTTTATATTTTATAAAAGAGAATTGTGTCTGCCTCAAGTATTTTAGCATCATCTTTTGTTAGGGTCTCTGACAAACTGATGTCCAAAGAGCACTCCCCAAATTAATCTTAGTGAAGTTTACTAGGACTTGCCCAGCTGGACCAGGATTTTGAGGAGGGTTGTGATCATGGTCCCCAAACCCTTGAAGAGCTTTGGTAAAGTATGTTAGGCTTATTCTGGGTAGTTCCAGAGAACAACACAAGTATTGGTGAGAGGAAGTTAACAGGAGGCAGCTTCTCACTTAGGAGAGTAGAGTTTCCAAATAGAGAAGTCAAAAATGGTGCCAACTTCCTCGTCAGACCCAGCGTTCCTTCCCACCCCGTGAACTTACAGGGATGGACCCCTTACCCAAGATTTCCCAGGGCCAGTAACTTCTGGTAATTATTTGAATTCAAAGTGATTTATTAAATTTATAGCAAAGTATAACTTGATTTTGTGCCCCTCTTCAACACATCATGTGGGGGTGGGGTGGAATCTTTGATGAGGTCAAGCATACTGGTTATTGGTTTGAAAACCATGGGAGATTCTTATATCAAGTAGGAGTTCAGATTCAAAGGGTTCTCAGGTCCTCAGATTCTATGATAAATGTGATGCTGAGAGTGATTTAACATGAGGAAGTGCACAAGAATCAAACAGAAAACTGTTTTCAGGCTCTACCATTGTGTGGTGTCTGCTTTGGCCCAATAGATGAAGCCAAGCCCTGAAACCTACTGAAATCACTAGAAGTGGGTAAAGAGAGTAATCAGGAGCAGTGTGAGGTTCATATGTTGAACACCTACTGTGTGCTTTAACAACTGAATATATTTACAATTCATTGTCACAATGCACTAATTATTTTTCTAATTAGCCACTAAATAGCACTAATTTTTAAATATAAAAGAGCTCCTACAAATCAATGAGAAAGAGGCCAAAGACCCAAATTAGAAGTCAAAGAAATGTATAGTCATGGAATACAAAAGATAAACTTTTATACATTTAAAAAGATGCTGATACTTAAAATAAAAAATATTCATTTACAAATCATAGTGAGAACTACCTCACACCAATTGGGATCACACACACACACACACACACACACAAGGTAGGTGTTGGCAAGGATATGATGAAATTGGACCTCTTGTGTGCTGCTAATGGGAATAGTACAGCTACTGTGGTAAACAGGACGGCAGGTACTCAAAAAACATTACAATAGAATTACTGTGTGATCCAGTAATTCCACTTCTGAGTATATGCCCAAAAGAAATGAAGTATTTGCACACCCATGTTCATAACAGCATTATTCACAATAGCTGGAAGGTAGCAGCAACTCAAATGTCCATCAACCGATGAACAGATAAACAAAGTGATATATATGTATATCATGTATATGTATACACACATATATATCATGTGTGTGTCATGATATAAATATATGGTATGTGTGTATATTATGTATATACTTTCATGTATATGAAAGTTGTATATATGTATATGAAATATTATTCAGCCTTTAAAACAGAGGAAATTCTGACACATGCTACAACATGAACAGTGAATACATTATGCTAAGTGAAATAAGCCAATCACAAAAAGACAACTACTGTATGATTCTACTTTATATGAGGTACCTAGAGCAGTCAAATTTATGGAGACAGAAGGTAGAATAGTGGTTTCCAGTGGCAGGGGGAGAGAAGGGAGTTAGTGACTAATGGGTACAGAGTTTCAGTTTTGCAAGACGAAAAGAGTTCTGGAGATGGACGGTGATGATAACATTTGTGCAACAATGTGGATGCATTTAATACCACTGCACACTTAAGAAATCAGTAAGATTTCATGTTATGTGTATTATGCCACAATGACAAATATTTTTTAAAACTACAATGAGATGTCATTTTAACTTTCTCTATTGGTAAAGGTCACAAATTAGAAAACATACTGTGTTGGCAAAAGTGATGTGAAAACAAGCACCATCATGTTTTGTCACTTGGGGCATAAACATATAATCTTAGGGGAGAATAATTTTTCAGTATCCGTGAAGATTAAAGTTGCAGTTACCCTCTGACTTTAGGAAGGTAGTTTACTTCCACATATGTGATTTGACACATGATCAAGGTTTTTCATTGCAACAAAAGATTGGAAACAACCTAAATGTCCATTGATAGGGCCTAGCAAAATAAATGATGACCATCCAATAGAATATAACCAAATAATAAGCAACTGTTAGAATTAGGATACTCAGTATGTAGTGATACAGACCAATCTCCAAGGTAGTGTGGTAAGTGTGCAAAAGTGTGTATACTGTGCCACCAGGTATTTAAAAGTAAAATGAAAAAAAATATGAGTCCATGTTTTTATTTTGTTTTGCCTCAAATAACTGCAAGTAGAGGCAAGAAATTGTAAACAGGTAACGGTGGTCACTCCAGTTATGTCTGTGGAGGAAAACTAGGCAGCCAGGGGACAGGGTTGGAAGAGAGACTTGCTCACTCTTTCAGGGATTTTGGCTATAAGAAAAAGAGAAACTAAAAGCAGTAGCAGAGGAAAACTGCTGCGAGGAAGGGCGAGACGGTGGTAAGCAATTTAGTACCATACGCAGGTATGATGTATTAAAAGTTAATTTAAAAAAGAGAAGTTATAGTCTAGAAGGGGAAAAGCATAACAGACACTTCTAGCCCAAAGCACTGGGCTGGGTGCTGTGGGGACAGAGGAAGGGCATCTTGCACAGCCCAAAGGGATTGGGGATGGCTTCTAGACAACCACCCCCAAGGAAGAATCCTGCTCTTGGGTCAGGAATAGTTGCATATCTTTTCCTAAGCCTTGGTTTGTTTTTGTTTTCTAGACAGATCTATTGATGGGTTCACCAATTAGGTTTTCCTTTCACTTTGGATGTTAAAACCTACAAGCCAAACCTGTGACCTGTGCCATGCAGGGCAGGCATATTTCTATGGCAAGCATTTAGCGTTGATCCTTGTACTTGGCTCCATTTTATATTCCTGCATTTGGTTTGTTTTTCACCTCTTTCTATAGTCGTTTATCTTTCCTTACCCTGTGCCTCCCTGTAAGCCACTTGGTAGCCTTTTTGGTCTCAGCTGAGATAAGTGGGTAAGTGCAGAAAGAAGAAGATAGAGAAGATAGAGATTTTTAGAGCAATTCCTGTCACCTTCCTTGGCTCCATCATGTAGATTAAGTGAATAGTGCCACTCTGCCCAAAATGAGGTCCTCAGACCAAGCAGCATTGGCATCACCTGTGAGTTTGTTAGATGTGGGTTTCATCCAACCTACTAAATCACAGTCTCTGTGCACAAGGCCCAGGACACTGCTTTAACATACTCTCCCAGATGATTTTTATGCACATTAAAGTTTGTAAACCAACTCCCTAATGAAAACTCCCTAATTCCTTTGATTTTCACAGGGAAATCAAAGGAATGCTGATTTCTAAACATGTACTTTCTGTTTTTTCCATCATACCTATTGTGTTGGCCAAAATAAGTAGTGCTAGCTACTGCAATAAACAGTGCTAAAATTTCATAGCTTAACACAAGAAAAGTTTATTTTTTGCTAACGTCACAGTCCAGTATGAATCACCATAGGGCGGAGAGAGCTATCTTATTATTTTGTTCAGCAAACCAGCTTCCTTTCACAATGAGGCTTTGCCATCCTCTACACCCTTGGACTCCTCTGGGCCTCCTGCATTCAAGAAGGCAGGAAGGAAGGAAAGAGAAAGGAGTTTTAGCAGCAGGTCTGAAAGTAACATCCATCTTTTCTGCCTACAACTTTACTGGCAAGAACCCAATGACATGACTCTCCTAACTAAAGGGGAGGCTGGGAACTAGGGCTTCTCTGTGGAGCTAGGAGGAAGAGGAGATGTCTTTGCTGAACACACAGCATGGTCTCTACTGCACCCAGGGACCTAAGACAATCCCAAACTGCACTTGTCACGTTTGTTTTCAGTTTAATTTTCTAATCATGTTTTATCTTTTCTTTTTTAACTCTAGCACTATGGGACTGAGTACCACTCTCTTTGTGATGGTCTTCCTGTTCTTCGGTAAGCACCTTTGGCTTTGTAAAGTCCTAGAATCCTTCCACTGTCTCCTGATGAGTCTGACCACTGCAAACCCAGGCCTGAAACTTGGTGGGTTTTATTCACTTTCTATCCAGTGTTGCACACTACCACATTTAAAAAAAATACTTCTGTAGAGAAGAAGGAAACATCATGATTGAGAACAGGTATCTCAGCTGCTGGCAGTCCTGGCCTGGGATGGAGCCCTATCCCCTCTGTGCACCCTTCTCCTCTGCCGTCTAGTGAAGTAGGGTAGACTGGCCTGTCCAGTGGCACCCAGGGAGCAAGGGGAAGGTCCCTTCTCTGACAGCCCTGAGGCTTAACTCTTTTGTTCCATATATGCATTTCTGGTCTTCTTTGTTCCCATTTCTGGCATTATCAGGCTTTTAGGAAACAGCTAGTGGGCTTCTAAAAGTCTCCTTTCATTAGGGAGCATTGGTTTTCCCATTCTCTACCTTCCCTCTCTCCCTCCCACACCAGTCCACACCCATAGAGTGAAGTTGCCCTTGCTTAGGGGGAGGATCGAAAAACCCCAGCCCTGCTACCATCTACTGCAGTGACCTTTGGCTGATTGCATCAGCTGATTTACTGTAGTTAATGAAGCTTAGCTGCTGGATTTCTCACCTGACAAGCCCCTCCAAGGTTCCATGATAGGACAGTATAGTCCCCTCATGTCAGTATAGTCACATGTCTTATGCTTTGGTAAAATTTTCAAAAGTAAGATATTTTAACCAGAGCAAGTTGAGCCCACTGCTTCTTTTTATTGTGACTTTTCTCTCCATCACATTCTCCTCTGGGTGGGTGGTATTATAATGGCCATAGGCATTGTGTACTTGAATTCTGCATTTTTTTCTTAAGGAGCACCCCCTCCACACAAAAAGAGAAATTTTTAAAGTGTCAGGCCTCACAGAACTCGGATCTTCCCTATTTGCAGCTCGTCTCTGAGTTTCATTTTCTTCATCTGTTAATGGATTGGTGGAAGTTCCTGCCACACATCCTGTGACTGGGTGCCTTTCGTATCTCCTGTCCTGCTTCTGCCTGCTGCTCATTTACCCCACCCTCAGCACAGAGAGGGAAGCCATCTTACACACAAATCCTGGGGTGGGAAAGCCAGGGAGGGTGCTCCTGACTAGCCAGCCCGGCCACGAGTTCAGCTTGGGCTGTAGTAGTTCTAGATCTCTTCCCTTGTGCAGACCCTCTTTGAGTGCTTTCTATAGATGATTTAAGTGGTTACTGATAGTAGCAAGTGGGGAAACCCGCTCACTAAGATAGAGGACAGGAAAGTTTAAAGGAAAGGGACAGAATATCTATTGCTATCTAAACAGCAGTGCCCAGCAGGCAGTTGGATATCTGGAATTCTAGTGAACATTATTGACTAGAGATAGGCATCTGTGAATTATTAATTTATATATTTGGCAGTTGGATCCATGCTTATCTGTCCTCATGATTTTTCCTTCTTTTACTAAAGGAGAAAAATCCCGAGAGAGATTAGGGAGATCAAGAACAGGCACTCAAGATAATCAGTATTTAAGGAATGATCAGAGAAAATTGTCCGTGGGGATCAGACTTTGGGAAAGAATCGAATTTCAGGAAGAGATGGCTGACAGAGTAGTCAGTATTCAACAGAGTGGTCAAATAAAATGAGGTCTGGAAAGAGCTCTGAATTTGGCAATGGTGGGTAGTCACTGACCATCTTTGCCAGGAAAGTTTCAGCAGTGAGGTGGGGGACAGAGGCTGGGAATGAAAGCAGCAATTGTAATAAACGACATCTTACTCTTTCAGGGAGTTTGACTGTAAGAGAAAGAAGCAGTAGCAGAGGTAACTGCTGTGAGGAAGGGAGAGGGTGGTAAGCACTGTGAGCAGCCTGGAGGCCAAGTTGGGCATTCAAGAGACTATAGATTTGTAATGTCACCAGTTTGAATAATTGAATAATTTCCTTCAGATATGTAGATCAAAAGCAGAGTGCTCTTGGAATGAATTCTGCGCAAAGAGGCAAGTTTACTGAAGTTGCTGTCAAGAGAATGATTAAAAAGATATACTATCACTGTGCTGTCCAAAAGGATAGCCACTAGCTGCATGTGGCTATTTAAATTAGTTAAAATTAAATAATATTGAGTATTCAGTTTTCAGTCACTAGCCTCACATCAAGTGCTCAATCGCTCCATGGTAGCAGCTATCGACTTCCATACTGGTCAGCACAGATGCAGAGCATTTCCATTGTTGCAGGGCTCTTCTGGAAAGCACTGAACCATGCAGCCCAAAATGGATAGATGAGGTTAAAAACAGAGACAGGTGAAGTAACTGAATAAATCTTGGAGGAAGATATGTTGTGGACAAAGGTACATTGAGTTTTAAGGTTCTTGGAACAGAGCTGCTCTTGGAGATGAGGTTCAGGAGGGGCTGCAACATAGTCTGTCTGAGAATGAAGATCTTTGAAGTAGAAAACATCAGAAAACTTTCGGGCAAGTTTGTGGGTGAACTCGTCCTTGCTGACGTCACCCAAATTCATAGTAATAATTGTTTGAAAAAACTTTGCCTCTAATGCCAAAATGCTCAATGAGCAAGGAAATGACGTCATTGCTGTAGTGGCTGACAGCAGTGACAGAAGCCCTTTGAAGGGGAAGGGCATCGCTCAAGGTCGCTGTGAAGAAAGACAAACAAACAGTGGCTGAGGCAAGTGGCAGCTTTTAAGTGGCTGGGTAGGACCAGATTTTAATGAAGCATAACCTTGGAGGAAACATTTGATGAAGAGGTGGAAGATGTAGTTTATTACAATGGAATGAAGTGATGCAGGTCCTGGCCGGCAGGATCCGTGTGTGTTGTGGCTGCCACTAACAAATTCACATGGACTACAGAAGTTCTGTGGAGAAAAAGGGACAGCGTGTCCACTCTCTAAGTGAGAGAGAGGGCCCCAACCCCTGCCTGGACAGGCTTTTATTGCTTTTCTGGGTACATTACATCAAGAATGGTCCTCATTTACTAGGTACAGATTTGCTGCAGGTGATTACCTTTCACAGATAACAAAGAAAAGAATGTTGCTAATTACTTCAAAGAGAAGGATGTTGCAGACCAAGGGGAAAGGTGGTTGAACCAGTTACACTCCTATATTTGGGGGATTTGGCACAGACTTTAGGAAGTTATAGTAAACATTTTCTGCTTCAATTCAGGGTGAGGGAGTTTTAGCAAAAGCAAGTCTCATGGCAGCCTAGATACAATGCAGGCCTGATTCCCCGTGGGAAAACCTATCCATGGGCATGGGTCCTGTGTTCCAGATCTCGCTCCCACTGGCTTTTCTGAGTGGGAGCTAGGCTACATTTTCCATGCCACACAAAACAGTTCCCTATAATGAATCTTCCTGAGGGTAAGGTTGGGAAAGAAGTGGGTTTACCGTTATGAGTCTGCAAAACACAGAGTTCATTCTTGTATTATTATTGACTGATTTTTATATTATTTTCTATATGAACAGCTGTAAACCTATTTTTGCCACTCCCTGTATAGCACTGAAGGAAGTTTAGTAAAAAAAAAAAAGAAAGAAAGAAAAAGAAAAATTCATGAGTACAGATAAGTATAGTAACATGAATGAGAGATAATCCTTGACTGTAAAAGACACGTATTTGGTGTAGTGGCCAGGGAAGAATGAAGTTCTAGGTGGAGTCAGAGACCTTACAAGGTTAGAAGGTCATAGTTTTTGTGTAACAGTCAAACTGTATATTGCTCAGGAAGCTGTCAAGCATCCTTTGAAACAAACTCCTTTAGCTGTTTAGGGAGGTATCTAGATGGATTCTTGAGTGCCTGGCTCCTGATATCATCATAGCACCACTTATAACTAAGCCCAGACATATTACCCAGGTGCTGGGAAGGAGCGAATCTCAGTGCTTACCCACCGATGGAGTCCCAGTGAGTCTAGTAGCTGGGTGGCCTAGGGTCTGGTGTCATAAGGGTGGTGACGCAGGGGGAAGGGGGGTTGACGCTGAAGCCGCTTAGGGAAAAGGATCTTTGAGTAAGTCTTTCCCATATTGTCAGGGGATTAGCACGCACAGCTCTGATGATGTCATGGAAGCCAGTGGTGGTGAGGAACTATGGAGTACAAATTGTGAAAGACTTTCAGTTCCACCCAGAATGGGCTTCAGAGTGATTTCCACCCCAGAGCAGAAGAGAAGGTTTGGATGGAAACCAATTGTTCCTATCATTATCTCCTCTGTTTCACTCTTGAGACAGAGGTCGAAATCCTCTATTACAGCTTCTCAAACTGGAACTCTTGTTAAAATGCAGATACTGACTCAGTAGGCCTGGGTGCAGCCAGAGCTTCTGCAGGCTTTAATGATGCTGAAGCAGGCTTTAATGATGCTGAAGTTTTTAGAACACAGACCACACGTTTGGTTAGTAGGTGAGGAGGGGAGCTGTTAAATGGGTGGGAGAAAAAGCCCTTTTGGGTCAGAGAGGTTGGAGTAGTCTGAGTGAAGAGAGTGAGTGGGAGCGAAGAGAAGGTACAGTGAGGCTCAGCAGAAAAACAACCATAAATCAAGAAAGCCGAAACCTAAGGCTAAGTCATTTCTAGGCCCAGAGGGCACAGTTGACCTCTGAGTAATAACATAACATTGACTGCTAACTGGCAGAATTTCCAACTGTGTTTGGTTTCTCCATAAGGTCATTTGCCCTACATCATATGGCAAGTTGCTGATACAACCAGAACCAGTTACCCCAGAGATAGCTGCTAGGAGCTTTTACAGTAGGTGGCACTCTTATCTTATCATTCAGAGTTTAGCAAAAAAGGAGCAGGAACCTCAGCACACCGTCCTGAGGTTCCCCTTTCACTGTTTCAGGTACCCAGGTAGATTTTTTCCACTTCCCACTAATGTGGGACTGTATCCTGTATGGATGCTGCATTTTTATACTTTCAAGTGGTTCACAAGGTTCCATCGAGCAGAATGTAATGGGCAGAGTGAATCCAATTTGTGCCGGCTCTGGCTGGTGCTTGGAGTCCTCTTCCCCTCACATTCAAGACCACCTCCAACCCCCTGATTATTTGTTCTCACTAGGCCATTCTACACACAGTTCAATCTTTCCAAGTGCATGTCATTGTTATTTGTCCTTCTACTTTTTCTTAGAAGAAAAACCCATTGATCAGATCAATTTAACTTCTACTACCCCTCAATGAACACCTCAAAGGAAACCCCTTTCATCTCTCATCAACCCACCCCCTTTTCTCCTTAATAAAGTTCCGAACGACGAAGCTTTATTTAGAACCCATCTTAACTTTCTCCCCAAGGTGGTATCTAACTTCACAGTAACTAAGAAACAGCATTTCCCCCCATCCCTACACTTCCCACCTACCACTAATATCTTGGCCAGGTCTCAGTAATTCTGTGTCCCAGAATAAGTCCTACAAAAAGTCTGTAATTGATGACATTTCCTAATTTTTATTTTTTTAATTACCATTTACATTCAATATTATTTTGCATCAGTTTCAAGTCTGTAGCATTGTGGTTAGACAGTCATATACTATACAAAGTGTTCCCCCTGATATTTGAAGTACCCACCTGGCACCATGCATAGTTATTACAACATATGAGGGGAGACCCCAAAAAACTGGAATTATCTTCTGGAGGGTAGGCCCTTGTAGTATAGATTCCCCCCACTAGGTGAGTGTTCTAGGAACCCATCTGTATCAGTGACCTAGCTGGCATTGTTGTGAGAGGCTGCATTCACCTTCAATGAATTGTTTTTGAAGACCCTTCAAATGTGTTTGCTCTTTTCATGATGGGTGATTTATGAGTGCACCTGCCCACCGCCCTGAGTGTTCAGCAGTTTTTTACCCAAAATGGCATGTCCCACTGTGCCCCACCCTCCCTATTCTCCCCATCTTGCCACAGGCAACTTTTTTTGTTCCCCTGGATGAAAAGTCCTCAAGGGGAATGTTTTGCCAACATAGAAAAGGTGAAACAAAAAAATGGCTGAAGCACTAAAAGGCATCAAAATCAAAGAGTTCAAAAAAACTGTTGAGAAGTGGGAAAAACATCTCAATAGGTGTATTGCATCAAATGGAGAGTATTTTGAAGGTGACTGAAGTTTAAACATGAGAATATGTGCACAATTTTTTATAAATAAATCCCAGGGTTTTGAGGGGTCCCCCTTTGTATAATTAATCATATTTGAGGAGTTAGATAGCCAAAATCCCTTCCACAAACTCCAATACGTTCTTGGGAATGGAAGCCTTTCTTTGAACTTGCCCAGTCTGTCCTCCGGGGGCTGTAAAAATTTCCAGGGCAGTGCATACAGGCAACAGCAAATTTATAGTAATTGGGGTTTCCCCAATACTCCAAGAGCACATCCTCACCTTTCAATCTCTGATTCATTTCCAGCATTTCATTCATGTACCTTAAATGGCCTCTGACCACCACAATCCCCAAACAACCATTATATTAGCCCAGTTCTCTTTCTGATCCCTGAAAGAGCTTAGCGAGGTCACTGAACCTTGGAACTGAGCCATATCCTTGAGAAAGTTGGCCATGAAAACTGCAGTCATGAGGGAAGCTCTATACAGGGAATTATTTGCATCTCAAAGCAGCTACTCAGTGTGATCTCCAGCTCTTGAGGCATAATGAAAGGGGGGGGGATCAAATTGTTACCATTATGAGAAATCTTGTCACTATAGCAGGCTAAAGAATAAGGAAATAGGGTGGGAAAGGGATAGGTTGTGGTGAAGGGCTAGAACGGGGTGTCAGACTCATTTTCACTGGGCCTTCAAAGGGCTGAATGTCATTTTCGGACTGTATAAATGTAATTACTCCTTAATAGTGAAGTGAGAGCTCAGCACTGCTGCCAGGCAGAAACAAGGTGCCGGGATGGACAAAACAAAGTGGAGGGCCGGATTCGGCCCACAGGCCTTGTGTTTGCCACCTGTGGTCTAGAAGTAATAGGGCCTGTAACAGCTGCAGAGGATCCATGTTCAGGTTATAGGAAGGTAACAGATGGGTGAGTTGTCTAACTACTGGTTTTCCCTGTTTTGAGATTTAAATTCACGGACCCCTAGTACTGGAAAAATCCTTAGAACATTTGGTTTGCCCCTTCATTAGACAGAGAAGGAAACTGAGCCTCAGAGCAGTTGCAGTTTACACGAGGCCACACCCATTGAGTGAGCTGTAGAGTGAGAACGAAAGTTTCATCACCAGACGCCAGTGTGTGTGCACAGTTCCTGAGTTCAGTGTCCAGTTCTCCGGTCCCATTACTGCAAGATCGATTCTGAGTATTATATCAAGAGAAATGGAGTTGTTCTCCCCTCTTGTTTCTTCTTCCCCAATTTCCACCTTTCCTTTTTTAGGTGTTGCTTCCATGAAGAATCTGGCATATTTCAATGAGACTGGATATCTTCCCTGCCACTTTACCAACTCTCAAAACATAAGCCTGGGTGAGCTGGTAGTATTTTGGCAGAACCAGGATAAGTTGGTTCTGTATGAGTTCTACAGAGGCAAAGAAAATCCTGAGAATGTTGATCCAGATTACAAGGGCCGCACAAGCCTGGACAAGGATAATTGGACCCTGAGACTCCACAACGTTCAGATCAAGGACAAGGGCTTGTATCAGTGTTTCGTCCATCACAAAGGGGCCAGTGGATTGGTTTCCCTCCACCAAATGAATATTGACCTGTCAGTGCTTGGTATGTTGTCAAAATGTGTTCTGATCCCTGACCTTCTAGATGAGACTGCAGTGAGCAGAGAAACAGTGGTGGGGGCCTGGGGGAGGGTGACCCGTAGAGAGAAGGCACAGGAAAGCCCTTTCTTGGAAGTCCATTTAAAGGTAATGCAGGCTTTGGGAGTAGGAAACTAAAAGTCCTTTGTACTTTTTATCATTTGGTTCTGAAAGATCAGTAAAAATCTGCTTTGAGGACAAAATAGAGCTAACTGAACAAAGGTAATATGGCTAAGTAAAAACCATGGGTGATTTGGCCATTACTAAGTTTATATAGCCATATAGGCCTCAAATGTCTTTTATGTTCATTGTCTCCTTTGGTCCAAGATTTCTCACCCACGGAATCTTTGCCTGGATCCCCTAATGAGGGTGACAGCTACCTAATTTGGGTTTTCCCTTCAACCTCCCAGAGGTTGCTTATGAATTGTTTGCTGCCCCACCCTGAGCCTGGTGGACAGAAGGGAAATCACCCAATGCACACAGTCCAAACACTGGCCAGCCAACCCCTTTGTTCCTCCCAGCCTTGGAAAGCCTAAGTGTTACTATGGATTTCCAAGATTACAATACAGTAACATTAATTGTTTTATTTTGGTATATAGTTCTATCAACTTTATGTACAGATTTCGAAACCGACACTCTAAAAAGGATATAAAACATTTCCATCACCATAAAAACACTTCTTCATGCGATTCCCTTCTGATTGCACCCTCACCACATCCATAACCCCGGGGTTGCATCCTACAGGCATATGTTTTTGAGAACATCCTGCGAATGGAGCCCCTGAGCACATAACATTCGAAGACTAACTTCTTTTATTCAACATAATGTCTTTGAGATTTCCATGTTGTTACATGTACCAAAAATCCATTTCTTCTGATCGCTGAGTAGCATGCTACTATTTATCCCCACTCAAACCAAGAAGAGACATTGGATTGTTTTCAGTTTGGGGCTATCATGAATAGAGCTGCTGTAAACATCTGTGTACAAGTCTCTGTGTGAACCTAAGTTTTCACTGCTTTAGGATAGCTACGCAGGTATGCGATTACTAGATGTAGATTAATTTCTGATGAAACTAGAAAAGGCAGATTAACACCAACTCTGAAACCACGGAGTAAAACAGAGGTAAAAATAGAAATAGAACAGGAAGTTGCTCCCTTTAAGCCCTGTGTGATTCAAACTAGGCTGCAGGGCTTTCAGGACATTTAACCAAGTGCTAAATAAGTGTTTTCAAAGTGTTGTCAGGTACTATAGAGAAATGTGGTGTGTCTTAGGTGGGACACGGACAGTCATTTTAAAAAAACTTTCAGTGGTTTTATATTTACTTTAATATATATTAGAAAAACTGTAAATAACTTATGTAACCTGCAATTTCACGGATATTGGTAATAAGCCTACAGTAGATAGGACTGTGGCATTCCACCTTCTACAGTCCACATAAAGTTACAGGCAGAGTGCTTAAGTAGTGCATTGATATAGCAAAACTTATACATGTGGCATGCAGGTCACTCAAGTCTCTGAATCAATATACTAAATTATACGTTATAATGCAGAACCTGAAAATGACCTAGTACCTCTGGGAAGGTAGCAAGGTGTTTGGCTGGCAAAGGGACTAGGAGCCAGTGATCCTCAACAGCCACAAAAATCTGAATGGCAAACAAGGCTAGAGAAGCTCTGTCATGTGCAAAACAGTATTCTGAATATATAAAACCCCAATCCTCGTCCACTCACATACCACCGTCCTGTGAGGGTTTCTCAAAGAAACCGGGCGAAACTGTAGCATCAGTCCTTCTCTGTTCTCTTGGTCTGCAACCGGAATGTACCACACGGGACACTTGGGTCCTAAAGTCATACCACTTCTCCTTCCAGACTTTATTTCTTAGAGAAGTGGCCTCATTATAAATCTTTGATGACTAAAATTCAGCCCTCCTATCGCTCAGACAACATCCCCTTGATTTGGGTAAGCAGGAAGTAAGCATGGCCCCAAATTCCGTTCTTTAAAAAAAATGTGGGACCATTATGTGGTTCTCACCATGAGCTGAGGTCCCCAATTTAGACACCCCAAGGCTCCCAGCTATGCCCCCAGAGTTCCCAGATCAGGTACCTGGTCATTTGCTGTTTTCTTCTAAATATAATTTAGACTGATTTTCTCTCTCTTTCTTTCTTGTATCTCTACTTGCTTTCAGCTAACTTCAGTCAGCCTGAAATAATGCTAACTTCTAACAGAACAGGAAATTCTGACGTCGTGAATTTGACCTGCTCATCTGCACAAGGTTACCCAGAACCTAAGAAGATGTTTTTTTGGCAAACAACCATGAATTCAACTAGGGAGCATGATTCTGTCATGAATATATTTCAAAATAATGTCACAGGATTATACAATGTTTCTATCAGCTTGTCTTTATCAATATCTCCTGAAAAGAACGCGAGCATCCTCTGTGGCCTGCAACCTGAGCCACCACAGACACAGCTTCTCTCCCCACCTTACATTATAGGTAAAGTGGCTTCACAAGGCTATTTCTTTTATCAGGTGTTATACACAGATGGTTATGGCAAATCATCCACTGTCCCTTACTTGCCAGGAAACCTCCAACTGAGCTATTTTATACTCAGCAGGCTCCTGCTTCGTCTGAGTGTGGCAGGGTCCAGGCGCCTATAACCCTGTGCTACACTGGAGGAAGCATGCACGTAAGCCTTGAAACTGACCCACTCTTTTGGGCTACTTTTGGGTGGACAGTTCTGAAGTTTAGGTCAGAAAATGCAGGATTCCTCCAGGCTAGAATTCTACCATTCATACACACACATGCACACACATCATGCTACATCCATATAGCACTTGTTTTGAGTATAGAACCATTCTAGACATTGTTAGTTGCAGGGATGAAAACTAAAAGGCATAAGAAAGGCTCTCTGCCCTCAAGGACCTTCCAATAGAATTAAATTTTCATGTGATGTCTACTCATGAAAATCTGGATTTTGAAAAGATTGGGTTGGAATCTAAATTATACTCCATGGAAAGAAGTCATAAATTTAAATATAAAAGTGACTCTAATTAGGTTTCTAGGCAATCAGATATAGGCAAGTTGTTGAGGGTGAAGGAAATCTTTCTAAAGGAAGTGGAATCTCATAATACAATAAGATAAATAATTGGACTTAAGGAGTATGTTGAGGTGATGACAGGTACTCAGACTTCTGGTGGCTTTCTGAACAGAAAGAAAAGTTTTGAGACAGCATTCAGGCTTAGAAAGTGAGGGGACTGCAATCAATTAGCAGTATCCCATGTGGGCACAAATGCTAGTGGTGGAACTCAGTACATGTGTGTCCAGAAAAGACCCTGAGGCAGAAGTTCCTGTGGCTCGTGGACAGTGTTGTGTGGAGACCAGCCCAGTTGTAGAAAAGGGCCCACTAATAGGAACCTGCCATTTTAAAGTCACGTCTTTGCCCTTGAGGAAATGCATCTGTATTTGAAAACCCACTTTTGAGGAGTAGTAACTGCAAGATTCTTTCCTGGGGTAAAGGCACCTTTCTTCCGGACTCTCTCATCACTGCTCATTCTGATTTTTTCCACACTGCCCTCCTCCACCTATCTGCCTTCTGCTTGCCTTGGCCTCTTCTCTAGCTCAGGGCCCTTGCTTTGTCCCCTTCTAAGTGATCCTTCCAACTCTCCTGATGTCTCAATGTTGAAACATAATTTTTCCTGTGGGCACATTGTTACATACAGTCCCTGGGGCCAGTTCCTACCAGCCAACTTTACCAGTGGGCCTATTCTCTCTCCTCGTACTGATGTCCTCCATTCAAACACCTGCACCTCTGGGGATCCAGTAAATGGTGAGGCTACCCAGCCCACCTGGGTTGCCTCTACCATAGCCTGATAGAGGCCTGTCCCAAGCTATCCCAGGTTCAGCACCTTCTTGGAGCCACCAGTCACCACACATGGCATGTCCAGGGGCCCTCTGCCACAGCTCCCACAGTCAACACATGAATCGGACCTTGCCACCACGATAGCCTCATCGTGACTCTCTGCTGCGTCTCAACTCCTGCTTAGGAAACGTTTCAGCTCTAGCTGCATCAGGAAGATGGGGCCTGCCTCTCTCTGTCCCTATTCTGTGGTTAATCACAGATAGGTTAGACCCTGAGTCAAGGAAACTTTTGGGTGTCAAAATGTAGCAGTCTCCATGTTAACAAGTACAGCCCTCCTTTACTGGGAATGCCAAACAGGCATCAGGTGGGATGAACTTGGACAGATTCAAAAAGTGTTGAGTAAGACTGGCAATAACTCGTCTTTGCTGAGGTAATGGGAGGTCAGCTAGTCCTATTTTCCTGTAATTTAGAATTAAATACCAGAACTATTTCCATAAATGTTTACCAAGTGAACTGCTGAGTTCTAAGTTTTCCCCCCAAAGCTTGTTTTTCAACCTCCTAGGAACTTGTGAGTCTCCATGCAAGGAAGTAAGTCTTGACCTCCCAGGAGCTGATTCTGACCCTGATTCCCCACACCATGAAGAGATAGCAAAGTTTTTCTAGTGGGTGCAACATGCTGACAGCATGCCTGAGGGAATCTGTGACCTCAGTGTGAAAAACAAACAAAAACAGAACAGGAGGTGGGAGGCCTGTGAGGAGGTTGTAATACTGGTCCAGGTGAGAGGTGCCTGGAGCCTAATCTACAGATGATAGTGGATGAGGTATTACCACAAAGGAAACTTCAAGGCCTGGGTCCTGACTGCACATGGGCTGAGGAAGCAGGGCATCACATGATGGCTGAATACTCAGAACCCTGGCACAGGTAACTTACCCAGATTCCAGAACCAAGGGCCAGGTTGACCTCTTCTAGTCTTAGTAGTTTTAGTCATTGTCTTCCCAGCCTCTAGGAAGTAAGGGAGATTAGTCCAGGCATTTGGCCTGAGGCACTGGCTTGGTTCTTAGAGACTGGGACTTTCAATAACCTCACATTGCATATTTCTAGCTCTTCTGGCAGTAGAGCCCTAGGGAGAAGCTGGCATGTAATTAAGAGAAAAAAAAAGAGCAGTATTTATAAACCTTTTCTTTTTTTGTTTAAAAATTTTTATTATATATTTTAATAGCTTATTTTTGTTGTATTTTTCCATAGCCATTTCTCCCCCTTATACCCTCCACCACCACCCCTCCTCCCCCCACCCCACGATCACCGCACTGTTGCCCATGATGAAAACTCTTCTAATCAAACTTCCTGGCTGAACGAAAACTTGTGGTCATTTTTAGGTGCAAAGCCAACGGAGCCACCCCTACCTGCCCTAGAACCTGTCGTGACTGCCTCTGTGTTAATACCATTGATCATCTTTCTGTGTGGGATAGTTTTCTGTGTAAGACTAAAGAAAAGGAAGAAGCAGCAGCCTGGCCCGGCTCATGGACGTGGTGAGTCAGTGTGTGTCCTCCCTGCAGAGTGGCACTGAATACCTGCTTCTCCACCTGCCTCCTCCTGGAGCTCCTTGGCTGAGCCCAGACTGGCAAAAAGTCAGCAAGCGGTCGGAGGAAAAGGTTTCCCCTCAGGATTTGTAATCCACGTAGACGGGACTCAACAACGACAATGTTGCTCTGGATTTTCTAGGGTAGGCAGTATTTCTAGCCTCGGGTTTACTATATGCTTCTGGTTTCCAGAAAAAAAAACAAAACAGATTATTTCTTACTTTACCCATGTCCCTTCATAAGGTTACTGCAGAATTCAATGAAGTAAAATAGTGAAAACACTTCTGAACGTCAGTGGTTATGGGCCTGGTGGTGGGTTTGAGCAGAAATGTTTGGTGGGAGAAGGGGGCCGTTAGATAACCATCAGATATGTTTTCTAATCTATAAACCAAGGTTCCTAGGAGGTCTGATGAGTAGTTCCCCACTGAATTTTTTAAATATTAATTTTTATTCATTACCAAGTACTATATATACATTACTAAATATACCGGAAAAATCACCTATAGTTCCATGAATAAGAAAAAAATTATATCTATAACATTTTTGTATAAATTTGCGTTATTTTCCAGGTGTGGCATAATATTTTAAGGACTGGGTTTTTTTTTACAATTAGAATCAACTCCCCTCATGTTTTTGAACTTTTTTGTACCAAATGTAGAAAGAAAATCTTTGATGTCATGAGATGGCTACAGGATAGTCCGTTATGTGGATATACGGTCATTCATTTAACCAGCCCCGTGTTGTTGGACACTTGGGCTGTTCCCACACTTTTCACTGTCATAAACAGCACTGCATTCAGCAGCCTCCCCATATCTGTTGTAGAAGTGCCTGTGTTTAATTGGGGAAAGGCGATTCCTGACATTAGAATGAGCCCTGTGTGTGGTTTGGGCTGGTTTGGGCAAAGTTGTAAGGTAAAGTCAGACTTTAATCTCAGTAATTGCCTTTTGTAGAAGTTTGGTTGGTCTTAATAACTAAGATACCCTTCTTACTCACTTATGGTAAAAAGAATAATGCTTTGGGTCAGCACCTTGTTTACAATATCAGTGTACTGATTTTAAGATCTATCTAGAAAATAGATTAATGACATTAGCAGTCACCCATTTCATCTTACTGTATTTTAAAGACTTTATGTATGTATTTATTTATTTACTTAATTATTTATTTTAGAGAGAGGGGAAAGGAGGGAGGAAGAGAGAGAGAGAAACATTGATTGATTACCTCTTGCATGTGCCCCAGCTGGACCTGGCTTGCAACCCAAGTATGTGTCCTGACCAGGAATTGAACCAGCAGCCTTTTGCTTTGTGGGATGATGTTCAGCCAACTGAGCTACACCAGTCAGGGCATCTTACTGTATTTTTAAAATAGAAAATTAGGGAGTGATTATCCAATTTTAATAAATTAATATTAAGCATATGGCAGAGCAATTCAAATGGCTAACACAGGGGATGCACTGAAATATTTCTGTGATATAGAAGTGTAAAATTCAGTGCACAGGATCAGGTGCAAGGATATACCATGCTTGCCCAGACTTTGACTTTTCAAGGGGAGATGCTTGAGTTTCTCTTTCTTTTAATCTCATTGCCTTTAGCATTGGCTAAATGTGCAGAAGCAACCTTCAGTTTGGGAATAAGCTGTCTCCTAAATTTGCTTTCACATTGGAATAATTAGCTTATAAATGAAACAAAGCAGAAGGAATGGAGAAAAAGGGAATTAAGAACATTTCTTCCCTCAAGAGACAATCAGAAAAATTCAGGAGAATAGATAAGATAGTTGGAGAGGAGGATGTATGTGTACAAATGAGTACGTATGAGAAGGTCCAATTGGGCTATGGTGATATGGTGATAAAAGGCAGAAGGCAACAAAAGAGCACAGCATATACATGACCCCCCCAAGAATGTGATAAAAAGTACTGGCAAGAAAAAGTTGTTTGGTCAGTCACCTGTGCCAGTAAGTTCGGTCAAAGAGAAGAGCTTGATATCACTGGAGGAAGGGAGATATACCAAACAACTACGACATGTAATACGAGATGTTTGTAAATTTGGCTTCAGCAATATCTGCACTTGCTTTGTGGATACCCCTGGCATTGGCTATATGATAAGCAGAATAAGAGGATGTCTATCTCCTATATCCCAGAACCTAGAATATTTTCTCACATAGCAGAGGGGACTTTCATATGGGATTAAGATACTGACCTTAAAATGATTAAATTATCCTGGATTATCCAGATAGACCCAGTCTAATCACCTGAGTCAGAGAACCTTTCCCAGCATGGTTAGAAAAATGAGAGGGAAGGAGAAACCCAAAGCTTAAAGCAGGCCCAACCCATCGTTGCTGGCTCTGAAGATGGAGGAAGGAGCCACGAGCCAAGGAATGTAGGCAACTTCTAGAAGCTGGGAATGATCCTCAGCTGAGAGCCAGCAAAGAAATGGAGATCTCAGTCCTACACCCACAAGGAACTGAATTTTCCAACAGACAGGCATCAACAAGTTTACTGATAACCTGTAGGAATTTCTCCAAAAGTGGAGCTTCTTCTAATTCCATATGAATCCTTTCCACTGTTTGTTTCTAATTATAGTGTTTTTTTCCTCAACCACACATATTTACCCTATTTAGCCTAAGTTAATAAAAGGAAAATGCCGTGGTTATTCCAGCTGGTTCTAATCTCTCTTCCCTTTCCTTTCTCTTTCCTCTCCTCCTCTTCTTCCTTCCCGCCCTCCTCCTCCCTCTTCCTCTCTCTCATTTTGTCAAATAAGACACATAATGCACAAGAAATTGTCATTTTTGAATTACTGTCTTTTCCCAATCAAAAGCCGCCCTGTCACCTTACCCACGAGGGAGAAAGACTAAAATAGCTCCTTCTGAAGTTTTGCTTCCTCATTTGGATTTTGTGTACAATAGTGACCTAGCAACCAACAGTTTTCATTTCAACTTGCCTTCATCCACCAAACCTTAGAATCTCAGCTTTTTCAGAAATAATTTCTTAAAGGGCAAGTGTGTTTCCCAAAATAATCCATTTTAATCACCATTTATATAGAAACCTTCACAGGGCTTAAGGACTGAAAGTTGGTGATATCATCACATCTGCCCTAAAAATGCTAAATGCGTCATCAAAACCAAAAGGTTAAAAATGTGTTTTTATTGTCTGCTTTCACTTTAAAATAGAAGGGTTTTTTTAATGGTGATGAAATTGTCATGGGTGAAAAAGAATAATTTATTATGCATCAGTCTAAGACATCTAAAATACTGTATTCAGCTGTGAGGCCCAGTATTTTTCAAAGGAACTTCAATAAAATTAGGATCTAACCAGATTTATTGTGTCTGGAAACTCAATCAAATAAGAAATAGCTCAAGTAACCAAAGGTGCTTAGCCAGAAAAAAAAAAAGGCCTTGACGATGATACAAGTACTACCTACAGATATCTGAGGAGCTGCCATAGGGTGCAAAGATCTTTTTTTTGATAAATTAAACATAAAAATGCAAAAACATTTTTATAGCTTTAGCTCCATGGCTGATGAGCTGGCACAACTCCAGGGGCCCTGTTCACAGAGGGGTTTGTGACCAGTGCTGGTGGAGTGTGGAGAGCAGGTCAGGCCTGTGTAGCCACAGATAGTGGCCCTGCTCAGGCCCCCAGTGCTCCCACCAGGGGCAAAGAGCATATTTAATTGTGGCTCCAACAGGTGTATAGTCATACAATGAAATATTGCCAAGCTAGGGAAAGGAATGGACCACTGGTAACATACCACACCATGGATGAATTTCAAAAGCATTATGTGTGCTAAATAAAAGACTCCAGGTAGAAAAAGACTATACATTGTATGATCCTACTTATATGAAACTCTAGAAAAAGCAAAACTCTTGTGACACTAAGCAGATCAGTGGTTACCAGGGAATGGGGTGGGAGAAAGGGGCAAGAGGGAACTTTGGGGGCTTATACAAATGCTCTATACATTGGGTATGGTAGTAATTACATGACTGCATACATAATGTTTAACTCACCAAAATCTATATGGAAAATGATTGGATTTTGTTATATATTAATTGTACCTCAATAATGCTGATTATTGTTCAACCCTGTGTGCACACACAAGAACTGCCAATGATCGGAAGGGTTCAAAACCATTAGGGCAGCTGTTGAAAGGATTCCTGAGGCCCCGAAGTTCCTCCATAGACACCCAGGTTAACGACCCCCATGGTAAGGCTCTGAGTGGAACAATAGCACTGTCAGGAGAGTCAACCTAGAGGAATTTACGCCCCAAGGCACATCAGTAGTATGTCTATACCAGTAGCAACTCAGGCTTTGGGAGGTCCAGGAGCTAGAGATTTCCACCCTGGGCCCATCCATGAACACTGTGCTGTTGGCACCGTGAACTGGCTAACCCATTTCAGCATCAACATCTTCAAGATTTCCTTTCCTCCTAAATCTTGTTTTCAGAAAAGGATTGGAAACTCTTTTCTTTCTTTTTCTTTTTTTAAGATTTTATTTCTTTATTTTTAGAGAGGGGGAAAAAGAGGGAGAGAAACATCAATGTGTGGTTGCCTCTCGTGCACCCCCTACTGGGGACCTGGTTTGCAACCCAGGCATGTGCCCTGACTGAGAATCAACCCAGTGACCTACTGGTTCACAGGCCAGCACTCAATCCACTGACCTGCACCAGCAAGGGCTTCTTTTTTGATCACTAAATGATTGCTAAAACTAAATGTGTTACCCCTTCCACTAATATTTTTATTTTAGCAAAGAGTAGAGTTGTAAGTAAAAATCCTACTTCCTACTTTAGAACTTAAGGCCCAGTGAGCAAATGAAGGCTTTTACTTTTTGGATGCAAGGCGCTCCCTCTCAGCCCCCCTGAAACTGCATCAGGTAACCATCGATTTCACATTATATGTGACATTAAGGCTACCATGTCATTAAGGCTACAGTGTAGCCTTATAGGCTACAATGATATTTCTCTGAGTCCTAGGACTTTGGAACCTCTCCAAACTTTCCCTGTGGTAGCATCAATGGGCAATACACTCTGAGGTTGTTTGCTCTTTTTCAGAAGCCATCAAAGCAGAAGGAGAAGAAAGTAAACAGACTGAGGAAAGGTGAGTCCTGACCCTACAACATTGTTGAAAGAGGTCTCACTTCCAGAGGGTCTATAATTAGAATAGGCTTAAAAAAAAACTGAGGCATGCTGAGACTCCCAGCAAACATGAACTAATGGAGAGGAAAAAGAGATTGAGACTGGTAGGACCTGGAGGAAAATGTTGTAGTTGTAAATGGATGGCAGGTAGCCAATGTACAATGCTCGGTCATGGCCAAGTAAACTCTTAGTACCAAAGGGGTTTGATGCGGTGAGCATGGGCTGCATCTTACTCACAGTGGTAACCCCAGCAGCTAGAAAAGAGCCAGGACAAGTGGGTAACCCACATGTGTGAATACACGAGTGAGTGAGGAATGATAACACGTTCCATGTAGCTTCTGCACCTTTGAAACTTCTGTGCCCTTGCTTGGAATATTCTTCTGCCACTTCTTCACCTCCTTCTTTAGATCTTGGTTCAAGCAGCACTTTCCTAAAAACCCTTCCCAGATTAGATTTAGTCAGCCTATAATAATGTCATGTGGATTGCAGTTCTTTTTCTTTATAGCGCCAAGTATACCAATAAATATATGTAATTGCCTTATTAAACTCTATAAACTGAACTAAACGCAACTCTATAGAGGTCAGGGATCGTATCAGTTAAGTTTATCACTGTGCTTCCAGCACCCAGTACAGTGCCCAGCACGGAGTAGGTGCTCAATAAATATTTGTTGGAAGAATGAAGGAATGCGTGAAGATGCCTGGTGATCAGACCTTTCACAACGTGATGCAATCAGGTTGTCCATACCTCCATCCTCTCTTGAGGAACTGAGTTTGTCAAGAATATCAAGGCTCTGGCTGCATGGTTGTGGGGTCAAAGCAGCCCTCAGGTGAAGACACATTTATGACCCCAGGGTGCCCAGGACCAGAGTGCCCTGCACTTAACTGGGTACACCAGCCACTATGAGCGTAGGGATCCTGGTGGTGAGCCAGGGTGCTGAGACCCTGCCTGCCCTGTCAGGCTTGGTTCAGAAATGGTCCGGAAAAGCCTACATAGGAAAGACAGCAGGGACTCAGCATAGAGGAGGGACAGGCCTGGGCACAACTAAAGGGTAGTTACTGAAGAAGAGTGTGGATGACACTCTTCCACCTCTCTCCTGAGCAGTGTGTTTCTCCTCACCGCTGTGGCAAGGCTGCCTTCATTGGCCCTTCATTGGCCCTTCATTGAAATCTAGAACAGGAAGTGGCTCTACTGGGAATTCTGACCCAATTCTCTTCTATTTTTCCAGAGTAGAAAACCGTGTACCCGAAAGATCTGATGAAGCCCAGTGTGTTGTTAACAGTTTGAAGATGGCCTCGAGTGACAGAAGTGCTGCACACTTTTGATTAAAGAGTAAAGTCCATTTGACTGTCCATTGTCCAAGTCACATGTGGATTGGTTCCTCTATTTTTTTTCCTTTTTTAAATTAAACTTATTGACGTGACATTGGGCAACAAGATCATATGCTTCCCTTTTCAAGTTTTTGACTGACCTTTTTATTGTCTCTCTGAGCCTTCCCAGGGGCGAGAAAATATTACGGGAATAACAGCGGGGGCACTAGGACTCCCTCTAAAGGAAATGGCCTCTCTGTAATGCCAGGGCGGCTCCCTGTGCCAGGAGCAGGTTTTATCTGCTTCCTTTGTTTTTAGAGCACACTGATTGACTCCAGGCTAATGTCTGGGAGGACTAATGCCTCCAGTACCAATTCAGTCTCTTTTCTTAATTTTACGAATTGTGTTTTCTATAGAATTCCCATTTCCTGGAATACTGGCTTCTGTTTACTCTGGATTCTGAAGGAGTGCCTCAATCTATCTTGCATACCTGATTGAACACCTACCTCTTCAGTCTGAGTGGGAGCTATGTATTTTATGGCTTAATAGTGTTAATATTAACATTTTGAAATATAAAGAAATATGTATTATAGTAATGCAGTTATGATACCTGGAGAAATGTCCACCCTCTGCTAAGAATTCTTGTTCTTCAGTGAGGATCATTAAGGAAAGTGGTGGCCTAATGTGCTGACCACAAGAACTAGACAAACTCAAAACCTGGGAAACTAGAAGAGGCAAAGGAGGAACCATTTCTATATGGGCTGTTGCTAATATTGAGGAGGATCTGCATGCCTGGCTTGGCAGAGAGCACTAGATAAAGCAGAAGAGTGCTGCACATCATGAACCCACTTCTCTTCTTGGAAAAAGTGGCCGAGGTGATGGCCTGGGACATCTGTGCAAGAGCCAATAGAGAGCCTACAATACTCAAAAGAGAAAAAAAATGAAAGATCTTAAATGAAAGATCTTCAGTCTGTCGAGTCCTTCAACAAGCTTTGGGACAAGCAACAGATGGACAGTCTGTCCAAATGGACTTAAGATGGACAGTAATTTCCTGGGTGGTTGGTGAGGTGTTTTGATGATACCCAGGTTGTCCTGATGTTTCACCTGTTGAAAGCAGAGCTTGGGGGAGAGAGTGATCACGAGATAAATTGAAGGAAGCTTAGAACTCTTCCAACTAATGGCTGAGAGACAAAGGGCTGGACTAAAGTTTGGAAGACCAGGATGCAGATCATCAATATGTGAAATATATATATAAAATCATTATGTTGTAAACCTAAAACTAATGTGTTATATGTCAGTTATATCTCAATTAAAAATACATAAATGCAGGGGAATTCTGGGGGGAAATTGACTTCTTCACCAGTGGATATCAGTCACCTAAGATAGTACCTCAAAACTACTTGTTTAAAAGTTGAATGAAACATTAATATGTCCTCTTATAAAAACATCCCTGCTTGGTATATTAAATTCTCTAGACCTTCTGAGTTACAAGTCTGGGGAGAGGAAAGCCAAGAAAGGTTAAAAGGGGCCACTAGGTTTAATAACAGTGCTAACATCACTGTTGTTTGCCTTGTACCAGGGACCCTTCTAAACCTTCACATTTATTACCCGACTTAATCCTCATAATGACCCTGGGATGTCAGTATTGGAATATCACACCCGTTTTGCTGATGAGGCACAGGGATGTCAAAGTAATTTATCCAAGGTCTCCAATTTAGTAAATGGCAGAGATGGGGAAAATTTTAAAAAGCACCCCCCCCCCACCCCTTTATGTCCCAGCCCCATGTTTTCTGGCCATGGAAGAGACAGCATTTTGGTTGGTTGCTGGTTGAGTGCCTACACCACACCTTACATTACAGTAGCTCAGCCCTCCCAGGTGGTGGTGCCTCCAGAGGACTCAGAACTGACTCTTCTGGAAGCCATTCCATCATCTCATAAGGCCAGAAGCTATGGATGATGAGGCACACGATTTGACCAGTGAAAATAAGTTTTTGGTCAGAGGGAAAGTGAACTACAATTGCTGCCTCCAAATCCTCTCCCTCCACCTCTGCTACTTATTATTCTTTTGCAATTCACCATCTTCCCTCTGCAGTTCTGAAGCCAGTTTCACCCCTTCAGTGCCCTCACATACATTAGCTCAAGCTGGAAAGCACAGAGTCATTTATGACTACTGCCCTCTGAACTTTCCCTCTACACCCACTGCCATGAAAGGTCATCATCAGGCCAGGCAAGGATCCCTCTAGCTTTAGCATCCACCCCTTCTTTTCTCAGTCATACCCTTATGTTCAAGAGCATGACAACACCACCCACCTGACCCCAGTTCCCTATCTCTCTTACCCTGAATTCTGTCCAAAGTATCAAAAGGAGCAAAGAGGTAAATAGTGAAAACAAGACCTCTCTTACATTTCTTTGTCCAAAGTTCTGCACTGTCCTAGCCATACAGAGGCAATTCCAATCTCCAGCTTCTTATGTATCTTTCCATAGACACACTATGCCTATATATAGTGTGCATATATAGGATATATATACATGTATACACACATATACATGCAAATATATATGTATGTATATTTTAATGTATATGTTATATATATATTCTATATATGTACAAGGTCTATCCAGAAAAAATAAAACCATCATTAATATAACAAAAACTGTTTGTGTGACATCAGTGTAACCTGGCAGCCAGGGAGAGTGGACTGGAATGTGCATGTGTGAACAATGGTGGCTTCACTGTACTAGTCAGTGGGGGTCATAGAGCCTTTGAGTGAGCTTGTGTACTGTGTCGCCATTGCATTCAAAATGCCTGAGTGAGTGAAGTGAGTCTGCATCAAATTTTGCATTAAGCTTGAAAATTCCTCCACAGAAATTATTCAGGTGATTCAGAAAGCCGTAGCCATGGGCAACTGATGATTGCCAGCTTCGTCATGACAAGCCCACTCAAGCATCGACTCCTGTGCAGAGTTTTTTGATGAAACATCAAATCACCCAGATGACTTGGCCCCCTCTACAGCCCAGATTTGGTGCCCTGAGACTTCTGGTTTTTCCCCAAATTGAAATTACCTTCGAAAGGGAAGAGATTTCAGATCATCGATGACATTCAAGAAAATGCAACCGGGCAGCTCATGGAAATTGAGAGAACTGTGTAAGGTCCCAAGGTGTCTACTTTGAAGGGTAAACAGGCATCATTGTCCTATGTACAATGTTTCTTGTATCTTTTATCTGCTTCAATAAATGTCTCTATTTTTCATATTACGTGACTGGATACTGTCTGGACAGACCTTGTATATTCCCCTTACTTGGTCAGATTTGGTATTCTTCTACACCGAAGCAACCTAAACAGCATACACATAAGGTTTTTGCTAAGGTGATCAGTCTTTCATTGAAATCCTTCATATTATAAACATACTTTTTTATTGTATCAGTTTTCAATCTCACCCACATGCCAGCATTCTTGTTGATCTTATAATAAAAGTGAGATTCCACTGGACTTCACCATGGCTACCTGTGCATTGAAGGAGAAAAAATACAAACAGATACAAAGCCTTGCACTGTCCTTAGACACAAATGTTTGAACTTGTTCCAATCTGAGCAAGTTATAGCCTAGGTCTGGTGGATAACAGTCACTCTGAACTGGATCTCCTGTTTCCTGCGTTTCATATATTAGTCTTTCTTGACTTATTCCCTCACTTTGGTTTTATATATTCACCAGTAGCTTTCTGAGAAAGGATATGTGAGAAGTAAATTTAATGAGATATTTCAACCTAAGTGCCCATCAGTAAATGAATGGATCAAAAAACTATGGTCCATTTACACAATGGAATTCTGCACAGGAGAAAGAAAAAAGGAGCTCCTACCCTTTGCAACAGCATGGATGGAACTGGAGAGCATTACGCTAAGTGAAATAAGCCAGGCAGTGAAAGACAAATACCATATGATCTCACCTTTAACTGGAACCTAATCAACAAAACAAACAAGCAAGCAAAATATAACCAAACACACTGAAATTAAGAACAACCTGACAGTAACCAGAAGGGAGAGGTGAGGGGATAATGAGGGAGAAGGGTGAAGGGTTTACAGGAACAACTATAAAGGACACATGGACAAAACCAAGGGTGGGGGGTGGAATTGGGGAGGGAGGTGGGGAAGGCTGGGTGGTGGGGAAGGGAGCAGGGAAAGGCAGAAAACTGTACTTGAACAACAATAAAAATCAAAATAATTTAATAAAAAAAGAAAAGAAAAAGTATAGTATATTTTATTGATTGTGCTATTAAAATTGTCCCAATTTGTTTTCTCCCCTTTATCACCCTCCCCCCTGCACTTCCTCACTCACCCTCCAGCATCACCCCTCCCCACCCCACAGTTCATGCCAATGGGTTGTACAGTTAAGTTCTTTGGCTTCGTCATTTCCTATAGTATTCTTACCTCCCTACAAATTTATGCCTACGAATCATGTTTCTTATTCCCTGTACCTTCCTCCCCTATTCTTCCCCTCCCCATACCCACTGACAACCCTCCTTGTGATCTCCATTTCTGGGATTCTGTTCCTGTTCTAGTTGTTTGTTCAGTTTTTGTTTTTAGGTTCAGTTGTTGATAGTTGTGAGTTTATGGTCATTTTACTGTTCATATTTTTTATCTTCTTCTTTTTCTTAGATAAGTCACTTTAACATTTCATATAAGAAGGGCTGGGTGATGATGAACTCCTTTAATTTAACCTTACCTGGGAAGCACTTTATCTGCCCTTCCATTTTAAATGATAGCTTTGCTGGATAGACTAATCTTGGATGTAAGTCTTTGCCTTTCATGACTTCAAATATTTCTTTCCAGCACTTTCTTGTGTGTAAGGTCTCTTTAGAGAAATCAGCTGATAGTCTGTCTAATGGGAACTCCTTTGTAGGTAACTGTCTCTTTTTCTTTTGCTGCTTTTAAGATTCTCTTCTTATCTTTAATCTTGGCTAATGTAAGTATGATGTGCCTTGGTGTGTTCCTCCTTGGGTCCAACTTCTTTGGGACTCTCCGAGTTTCCTGGACTTCCTGGAAGTCTATTTCCTTTGCCAGATTAGGGAAGTTCTTCATTATATTTTCAAATAAGTTATCAATTTCTTGGTCTTCCTTTTTTCTTTCTGGC